ATAAATATATAATAAAGCTGGTGCTTTATTATATAGGTGCTAAATCTCACTACTTCCTCTATCTAAGACCACCTATAAAAGAGATGGATTCCAAAGCGCTTTCCCCATTGCCTCACCTTAAATTAAATTGTGTGTACTTTGTACATACAAGCATATAAAATGCAGTGAAGTTCCGTTAATGGCTTTTTGTCTCCAAGATTATTCCCTACAGTTCTCCTGACACTAAACTTCTAAAAACAGAGATGAACCTGGTGACATTCATCCAGCATGGTTCATGAAGGATCCTAGCCATACGAACTGACACACACTGCAGAAGTTAATTCCAATATGTAATTTAAATACACACAAACTAATCACATCCAATTTAGGAATTGTCTTCATGGACTTCTTTTTCATATATTACTAGGTTTTTAAACTATTTAATAATTTATAATGCTTACTTCTACTTTATTGAATATGATGTTCAATTAAGGCTAGCACAAGGACACCCACATACCATGGGGAAAGTTTTTTCCTAAATAATTTTTGATCTAGGTTAAAACCCAGAACACTATATCATAGAATCATCTAGGTTGGAAAAGACCTTTAAGATCATTGAGTCCAACCGTAAACCTAACACTGCCAACTCTCCACCACTAAGCCACCTCCGTAACTGCCATGTCTACGTCTTTTAAATACCTCCAGGGATGGTGACTCAACCACTTCCCTGGGCAGCCTGTTCCAGTGCTTGACAACCCTTTCGGTGAAGAAATTTTTCCTAATATCTAATCTAAACCTCCCTTGGTGCAACTTGAGGCCATTTCCTCTCATCCTATCACTTGCTACTTGGGAGAAGAGACCAAAACCCACCTCGCTACAACCTCCTTTCAGGTAGTTGTAAAGAGCGATAAGGTCTCCCCTCAGCCTCCTTTTCTCTCCTATATAATTATACTCGTGCAAATAATACTGAATAATACATCATTTTAATTAAAGAGGTAAAGATAATAGATGCAGGACTGAGCTGAGGTAAAAAAGCCTTTTATGGGGTTGATACATAGAAATCATTCCATGCAGTGTCCGTAGACTGCCTGAAGTGAAATAGTAGAGGGTAAATCTAGAAGTGAAGAATACACTGTAAGCCAGGTGAAGCATAAGTGATTTGGGGAAAAAAGGACAGAGAAAAATATGGAATTCATAATCGAATGGAAACTACAGCAAAATCTTTAATGAAGTAATTAGTCCGTAGTACATCTCAGTCCCAAAATTAATGCACCTCCTCTCTCATATTGTACTGCAAAAATTTTAAAGGAGCAACCAAATCCTTTTCAAGACATATGCTCCATACAAGCAGGCTGTAGTAAGACTGGTTGCAGAAAAAACAAACAAACAAAAAGCTACTTGTTAAAATTAATGACACCTTTCAAAAGAGTTTTGTCCTCCAAGCAATGTGTAGTCTTTAGCCTGTATGGGTTTCCAGTTCTAACCAAAGAACAGGGAGTCTGGAATCCCAAATGCTAATTTCATTAAGGACTAAACTTCTCAGTAAAATGATGGTTCTACCAATGTCCTTTAGAGAAGCTAACTTTTGAAACCTCATCAGATAGTTAGACACCCCAGTCCACACACTAGAGTCTAATCTAAGGATAATTTATTTTTCAAAACAGATGTTTCTTTCTCCTTCTATTTAACTTAGGATTCAAAAATCAGTAAAGAAACAAAAAGCATACAAACCAAATCCGAGTCTAAATGAAATGCTGTTGATAAATGCCCAGCATTGTATTGCTCTGCAGGACGACAATCCACTACAAAGAACCTTACTCCTTCCTGAAAGAGAAAGATTTTGCCTGTTACAAAATTTTAAAATTGTGTAATTATTAATGGGAAAATACATCATCCAATTATATTTTAATACTAATTCCAATACTACAGGAATCCCTCAAAGGGGCTAACAGCTATCCCAAAATCTTATTTCATTTGATTAATCTAAATTTCTACAGTTACCAGACCACCAACAGTATTCTAATAGTGATTTCCCATTAATACATCAGCTTGCGCATTGGAAAGGATCACCCAAGTGCAATACAAACCATGTAATTATTTCACCTCTACTGCGAAGAAATATAGTGGGTATGAGGGCACACATCAACAAGACATCAAAAGGGACAACTTCGAAGTCCCAATCCAACAATCCATTACTACTCAGCACAGCACACAAGGATAGCTTTATATCCCACCGACTTAAACAGGATATAAACAGATGCTTACCTTGACTTGGACTAGGAAAAAAAAAAAGTATGCATGATGAAAATGGGGCCTGGAAACTGCTACAAAAAGCCAGTAGTCAATAAGAAATACTGTAACCTAGCTACACTATTATCCATATATTGGTCTTAAATACTCTAAGTGAAGTCCCTGCATCTCAGTATGTCTGCAATGAATTACTACAGAAATAGCTTGAATCAATTTTTTTTGTTTGTTTAAACCTTTCATTGACAAGAGATATTTCATAATGGCATTCTTCTCAAAGGTACTGACTAGTGGGTTTTAAATTTTCCTCTACAATAACTACATTTGGAAACGAATTCAAATTAGTGAGATATTACTTTAAGCTCCCACTCCTCAGATTCAAATCAGCTGTATTAAGCTCCCCTGTGTTGTAGCTCTAGTTGCTACAGCACAAATGCATTGCAGTCAGCAGATCATTTACAAGGGAGACAACTTCAAGACAAGAATGTTTTTTCCTGAAATAGCAAATATTCATCTGTGTTGTTAGCACTTTAAAATATTTGTGATACGCAAAGCAGTAAGTGACTCTTTTCCTTTTCTATAAAATTGGGGGAAAAAAAGAAGAGTAATTCAGTATACTGACTCCTTGTTGCTGATTTGCTTGAAGAATCTCAGACACAGAAACTGCTAGACAGAGGGCCTGGCTCAAGTCTGTGTCATCATCCTTAAGGCCCAGCAAGCTGCTGCCAAAAAGACTGTGGTTGTCCTAATAAGGCAAGAGGGGAAAAAAAAAGTTAACTGAAGCCATTGTCTTTAGATGTGAAGGCTTAAAGTAAAACTACATCCACCATGTCACAAACATTAAGCCTGACACACGCGTATCTTGTCCATACAGTCATCAAATTTTTGATCAACTGAAATTCTTTCTGAAAATCATGGCAAGGACTGAACTTCCATTACAAACATGCTTGTTCACCACTCTGACGATGCCAACATGATGAAATACCTCTGGTTTTTGGTTGTTTTTTTTTTTTCTCTTTTTCACCCCCAAAAATCTCATACCTGTCTACACACATCAGAGAAAGTATATACAGGCCAAAGGCGATAACTATCAATTACTTTTATTTCATGAATTCACTGAAGTCAGATATCTTGAGTAAGGAAGAACTGCAAGAACAGTGCAGGTGATGACAGCTTTATCTCTAGTAAGTGACTTTTTCCTGTTCACTGTTGCAAGTACAGCTAGGACTGCTGTGCAGTCTACTACAACGCAATTGTGTCAGTTTTTTAGTAATTTGACTTTAAAAGACCCGTTAGGCTGATGTTTACCTATATCTACAATGCAAAAATGATGAAGCATTTTTGCTTCATCAGTTCTTACAAGAACCTGGTTTGCAAAACAAGGTCATCAGTCACGAAGTGAGAATATTGAGAGCTTCTCTCTAACATTTTTCACTTACCCCTCTTATCTTTCAAAGATCCTAACAGTAAACACCATCAGAGTAACAACATGAAAAAACTGTTTAAAAAAACATCACAATGAAATATTCAAAGTTACTGTCACAGTAGGAGCTTAAACAGTCACCAAAAAGAGAATGTCAAAATCATTTTGTTATTACCTTCCTGAAAGAAGCTGGAGTTTTGCTACAGTAATATTGTGCCAAAGAGAAGAGATCTTCTATGTCCTCTAAATCGAGATTGGCTGGTGAAGTTTCTAAGAACTCTGAGATATACAAACAACGTAAGTGCACCATTATTTCAGACGGAGAAAAGAAGCACTGTACATCTTTTCACATCATAAAATAACTTATTTTTAATAAGGCATAACACAATTGAGCTTACTGATTAAACACGAATGTTGATTCATTCTTGAGGCGGAAAGAGAAGATACAGGAAATATTCCTTATCCATAGGAAACCTATGCTATTTGCTAGAAGTTCAAACCTTCTACGCAAATTATTTTTCACCACACTCTTACCTCTGCATAGTTTTAGCTTTCAGTTGTCATACTAAGTCAGCTGCCTTTTCTAAAAAGGGCTGACCAAAGGAATCCTCTAAAACATAGTACTTCATCAGTAGTACTGTTTATATGTCCAGGATGGTACAAGGGTGTAGTTCTGCAGTATGTGGCAAAGACACAAAATTCCAAGCACCCTCATTTTTAACTGCTAGGAGATCGTTAATTATATTGTATTATTCCATGTTAAAAAACCCCACAACGGCAAGCGAAAGAGGCTCACAAGAAATTTAGTGTAATTTCTATAAAAGCAGAAGAGGGTAAGACAAGAACAATGAATTAGGCTCAAATCAAGTGCATACAAAGATAATAATCTGGAAAATGCAACAAGTGCAGTAGATATAAAGAAGGGTTTGAAAGCTGCTGCTTTGGGCTTGGAAACATGGTGATTGTTTCAAGTACTCCAAACTGAAGTATAAAACTAGGTGTGGGAGTGTGGGAGGAAACACAAGAAAAGAATGTTAAGAACAGGGCAAATGTGATGCAGCAGAAGAATAGTAAGAAAGGAATTAGTGGGTGAGGGGATTCATTAATGAGAAAATCACAGGGAAATAATTAAATAATTCAGTTATTTAGTAATTGAAAACAATAATCAATGGGGATTATACTATATGGTAAATATTTCACTAGCAGCTATATAAGAGAAGTACTTACTTATCATTTCTTCTTTATCTGATTCTTGTGCTAAGATAACGTCTCTGAAAACAGTAAAGTCACAGGCATAGATTAAGTCAGTAAAACCAAAATGAAATGAAAGTGGATTAAAACTGCGTCAGCAAGGAATGTCCCAAAGAATTAACTATACACTTACTTTGCATTGACAAGGATGATTAACATTAAGAAATAAATAAAGAATGGATCTGCTTGTTGTAGATATCCATCCCATATTGCCTGAGTGACTTCAGCTGAACAGTAATATGAGAAGAGGCTTCCAAGCTAAAAATTTGGAAAATAGTGTGAGAAAAAGCAACAACCAGGAACAACCTCATAAGGATAACATTTTTGACAGAGATACAAGATATCTAAAAGAAAATAAAAACAACAAAATTATGTTAAAACATGCATTTGCACCATGTATTGAAGGATGGTTCTACCCTCAAAAACAATTTCTATGGAAACAGTGCAATAATGCTACAGATTATCTGTGAATAAATACGCCTAGCGTGAAGACAAACTCAGCTGTACATTGTCAGCCTTGCAAATTCAACCAGAGATAACACAATCAGGCTGGAAGACTATTTAGCTTACAGCCACTGCTAAATACCAATTATACCAACAAGACAATAATAAGAGAATATATTTACTCAACTAGCTTAACAAATAGGACTTTGAAAAGATCCTGTAAACAACATTCTTTTTATTTTTCATAGTAGAACGAAGCTAATTGAACATGGTTGCACACTAGTTTGACAACATCACTTACTTAGCACTACATTATGATGCTTTATGGCTGAGTTATTAAACATTTGCAAGTAACAGAAAATTGTCATTATCATTTAACAAACTGTTTGCCTGTTCCCATGTTCCCATTTAAACATACATCCTCTCTGATATGCAAAGTTCAAAGCAAATAAAAGAAAAGGTAGGAACTTCTTTTCATACATGCATAATATTTGCAATCACACCTAACTCAAATGCATACCAGCTGGCTTCACTGGGGTCTTACTGAACTTGATACAGAATTTGCATGCATCAGCAACAGAGCTGCAGCTTTCAAAAGCTCAGTATCTGTTTTTAAACACTATCACGGAATATTTCAACACTTCCTAGTATACTTTTATAAAAAAAGGTAAGAAGATCTATCCAACTCTGAGTCAAATGCAACTGAAGACAAAATCATAGAGTCATAGAATCATAGAATCATTAAGGTTGGAAAAGACCTCTAAGATCATTAAGTCCAACCGTTAACCCAACACCACCATGCCCACTAAACCATGTCCCTAAGCGCCTCATCTACACGTCTTTTAAATACTTCCAGGGATGGTGACTCTACCACTTCCCTGGGCAGCCTGTTCCAAGGCCTGACCACTCTTTCAGTAAAGAAGTTTTTCCTAATGTCCAGTCTAAACCTCCCTTGGCGCAACTTGAGGCCATCTCCTCTCGTCCTATCGCTTGTTACTTGGCAGAAGAGACCAACCCCCACCTCGCTACAACCTCCTTTCAGGTAGTTGTAGAGAGCGATGAGGTCTCCCCTCAGCCTCCTCTTCTCCAGGCTAAACAGGCTAAAATGTCCCTGAACAATGAGACAACGACAAGTGTCTGAATGTTGCTCATGTATTTCTACACATTAGAAATACCTCTATATAGACTAAGTTTTTTGACAAATAAACCAAAGAATTTTAGTGTAATCTCATAATATAAAATGGGGCTTAAGATTTTTTTCTAAGATTGTACACCAGAAAGCATGACATTGAGGACTGGGAGCTACACTAGTTCATTTCCCTACCTCCTTTCAAAGGAAAGATTTTTTCCTAATGAATCACTAAACTTTTAACAAACAACTTCAAAGAAGTTTGTATTTACTAAGAAAAATTATATTTTAAAAAAAGGGAGATTCAGTAGTAAAAAAAAAAGACATGATTCCTCTTTTGAAGGCTGATGACTGGCAAAAGACAGATTTTGAGAATATGGAAATTATTCCTGGACACATTTTAATACTAAAGTTGGTAGCAGCCTAAAAAAAAAAAAATCTTAAAAAACCCCCCCAAACAAATACAGACCTCACAGTTTAATAATTCATTTCAGTCTTATTTCTTTAATTGAAAGTACACGGAGTCACAAAAAATTTTACAAAGCCAATGGGTATGAAAGAAGAGCCTAGAAGAGTTCATGGGTCATAAAGTCTTCCTCATTAATTTACAGACTTTGCCTCTGCAAGCACTGTATCACGATTTTGTATCGCATATACTAAGTAGCATTGAAACATGAGAATTTTGCTGCTTTACGTTGTAGCCCTGCTACACAAACTTTATAAAAAAACATGATTGAGGCAAGCGTCTTTATAACTACCCCAAACTCGAGGCAGTTTTGAGTTAAGGTGAGGAGGAAATGACCAGTTCTTGAAGAGCTGTAAAATATATGAGCCTAAATTCTGAAAGGCATAGTGCCATATGAGGCAGTCAAATATATCTATTAGCATGGAGGTTTTAAAATGTTTTTTAGTAATTTGACTTTAAAAGACCCGTTAGGCTGATGTTTACCCATATCTACAACCATACAGATGCCCACTATAAAAACTAACACCACAGCTTCTTACTTTTTGAGTATGTCAGTTGCTCTGATTCTTACTTATTCCAAGTAGTTCCTAGCATCAGTGGCTCAATTAATATCCAGTACAATAAAAATGTGACATTAACAAAATCTCATACCTTACATTAAACAGCTGAAGACAAAAAGCCCACACTATATTAAAACATGCAATTTATTTCAATATATGCAGTTCTAATCTCTTGTACTACTCTTCCATAAACTGGCAACATGTACTTAAATTTTAACAGAAATTTATTTTTCATTATGTTTCCCTACTTTCACTTAATTACCCAGTTGAGTGCATATGAGTCTGGAGTCATCTTCTTAGTATCAAGAAAGGAGCAGAGTTCAGGCTCATGATACTGAAGCAGCAGTCTAAATAGATGAAATGGTCTTCCCTTCATAAAACAATCCCTAAAAAGTAGCAGTGAAAATAATCATAAATCCCCCCATAATATTCCAGTTGTCAGACTTACAGTAGCAATTCTTTTTTGGTTGTGATTATGTAATTTCCTATATTGTTCTTTTAATTTACAGGGACTGATCATGAAGTCAAGTTGCCTCAAGAGCTTAAAAAAAAAAAAAATCAAAACCAACAAAAACCCCACAAACACTGAAAACCCTATATTAATAAGGCAGGAGAAAGAATGAAATACTACCAATACTTGATAGAGTATACAATACAGAAGTATTTAAAACAGATTTAAATATCAAAACAAGGCTACCATGGTATCAACATTGTTAACTAAACATAGAATTAAAAAAAGCTATTTTCTACCCTCTGTTAGAGGTAACATTGATGTAATGTAAGCAGATGTAATGCACTTTCCTCATGTGGTCCCTGGGGTGAGACACACTTCCATTATCCACTTGCAGCTTTTTAATTAATTTACTACCTTACAAGCTCTCAAACAAACCGTTGTCTACTCAATTGCATATCTGAGATGGTGTTTTCTTCTACTTACGGCCCAAACAAAGAATACTAATGACCTAGCACTTACATATTGACTGTTTGTTAATTTTGTATAGTGGAGAAAACTCACTATTCTAGAGGAAAGGCAGGAGGAATAGAAAGATAGGTATCTACAGGATACTTTATACCAAAAGCCTTGAGAGTAACAGTGTTTCCAAGGAAAAAATAGCAAAACCTCCCTCACCTAAAATAGCCTATTACAGTTTTTTTTTTCTCCCTCATTCTTCCTTTGGCTTGCTAGAGATGCTCTTTCAAAAAAAATCCAAGATATAATATGGTCTAACAGATTATGCTGTACATTTTGCCCACCTGTTGTCAATATTTTGTTAGAAATATTTATTGGGAGTTTATTCATGATAGTTACAAAACATGAGAAAATGTGAATAAAAAGTGTATGATTTAAAAAACAAAAACAGCAAAAAGTTAAAAATGAAACTTTTATCATAGTAATGATGGTCCAGCAGTCAAACATCAAATCGAGACCAAATTGACCTAAGTGGAGATTTGCAAGTCTACTATAAATTCCGCTTCCACGCTTTTCATTCTCCCATTGAAAAAAAAGAGAAAAAGAGAAAACAGTCTACATCTTGTTGAAACACCTCCTAGGTTCTTACAGAGAAACTCAAATACTAGACACTCTGAAAGCCTTCTATGGCTGAAAGTACATGAGTTATGTGACCATAATGCCACTATCCCTGAACAGTTCACAGAGCCCAACAGTATTTAAATCGGAAATGGACACAAGCTGAGTCAAGTGACAGGACCAATAAATGTTTCCTGCCACACCACCAAACGTATACTTTTCATCTTATGGGCACACATCCAGTAGCTGGGCCAGAATCTCCCCTCCAGGGAATCAGGCTAAGATCTTTAATTACAGACTATCCACATAATATTTCCAAGGTCTTAATCAGAAGACCCTGTAGCCTCGCTGGAATGTCATGGTGCTACTCCAACATAAATAAAAAATTATTTTAGTGAAAGCACCTATATAACATTATGAAAAGCTCCAATTTCATATTTTTTATTTAAAAAAAAAAATCATTGCAATCTCAACTCAGTAGAATACAGGTAAAGTATCAACTACTTCTTCTAAAGAGATTTGGAGATTTAATTAGTGCTTATGAAGTACTTTAAAGTGACAGGGAAAAAAGCATTTTAAATATCAAAAATGCTCGGAAAGGAAAGAAAAAATGCTTTCACATAACATATGTGAATTAGATAGTTCCTAAACAAATATTTTTGTGACTGCATGAAATGGCAGTTGTTCTTTAAAAGGCACATCGAGTCTACATCAGTCACATGCTAACTCTTTACATCTTAAACCAACTCAATCATCTCCTGGACTTCAAACCAACAGGTACTGAAAGATGGTTCAACTTATCGTCATATGAAGGAATCTGACAACTTTGCTACAAACAATGCTACTCTAGTCGAAACCAACATGCACATCCTTTCAGAAAATACTTTTAATGCCAATAAAAATAGCACACAGGCAAAAGAAAGTGTTTTACCTTGGGATGAATTTATTCATGATAGCATAGAAGCAGTTGTACAAATCACTGCGTGGCAAACGAAGGTGCACCAGAGGTTTGAGTAGATGTATCCAGCCAAGGCAAGAACTGTATTTAACATTGCGTGATTTACAATAAAAAGTAATAACAGACTCAATATCCAGAAGTAATACCGACTTCTCCTCTTCTGGCACTGATAACTGGTCTGAAAAAGGCACAGCAATATAAACCGTATTAATGGCCTTTCAAAGAAATTGAATGAGATTATTTCATAGCACAATTGCACCAATAGGGACTGCTTGGAAAAAAAAAAGCCACAAAAACAGACAAACAAAAAATTAGCAGCTTGGATTAAATGCTTACAGAAAGGCATCAACATACAAGTGATTTTATAACCTGAGGATAAGGCATTTAAATATCACAAAAACAGGTGAAAGAAGATTGTTTTTTCCAGGATCTATATGAAAGAGGTAGATTCTTTTAATGCACAGAATGCCCCTCTTCTATTCCTATTTGATGTGCTCAGCACATAACTTATGCTCAACTCTACAACAAATTCATTTGAATTTCAACACAGATCAACCCACAATGCATACCCCCAATTCCTCAAAAGCCCACTGACATGCGAATTTATGAAAATCAGTAATTTGAAATCAGCTAGGCTTACAGACTTAAATTTTAGTATTAATGTATAAATCACATTTTTGACCTCTACTTCAAAGCAATTTTCCTAACAATAGTTTAAATTTGGGGTTGTTAGGGTAACTATAAAAAGAGAAATTATTTATTACTTACAACTACACCTGGCTTTTAGATTCAATTTGTTACTGTTGCTAATCAGAAGATACACTAACCATGAACATATAATCTTTCATATAATGTAGTACATTGTTGTCAGGTACTGAAAAGCAAAGATGTCCCCTATTTAATGACAGACTAATTCTGAATCCATAATTTATATTGTCGCATTTGGATGAAAATTGGCACAAAAATTTGGTACAAAACCAGTTCTCTAATTAAGGTAGCAAGCCAAACACTTCTTAAATACCGTCATTGTTGAATTGGATACATACACAAGCTTAGGTTTTCATTAGTTCCAAAGCATCTTTCTGCATAGACTCTTATTTAAACGGCTGACAACACTTCAGAAGAAGTACTGGCATCCACCTCACTTGAGGCAATGAATCTAAGACATACTGAAATATGTCAACACCATACCCCAAATTGTGCCTTCCTCCATATGATGAAATAACTACTTAGCTTACTTACAGTTAAATATACTGATATTTATTATACAGACTGTAGTGAAACCAGACTTTTGTGTAAGTTCATATAATTTTCACTTTAATATTAAACACCTCTTTAGATTTTTTAATGAAAAATCTAATCTAATCTTAAATACACTTATGAATGATATATTTCAGAAATAAATTTGTTTTAATCCACTTACATTATGTCAATTTTACTATAACTAACTGACTTACAGTAAAAGAAGGAATAACCATGTTACATCTGGGATGGGGGGGAAGAGATGCCTACACACTACATTAATGCAGTGGCATTAAATTTCTAGTGAACGTTTTTCCCCCTCAATTACAAGAAGCCATGAGTCTCATTACCGTTAATGAAAGTTTTTACTACAGAAGCCTTTAATACTTTCACATCAAAGCCAGTCAATATTTGGTATTTCCTTTCCTCTACCTCTCGGGAAAATAAAATAGTACATAAAACTCAAATGCCATCTGAAGATCTACTTTAAATTTGGAGACTACTTGCTTTGCTAAAACATTGAAACTGAGAGATGTAATCCAACCCAAAATTTAAATCTCTATATAACCTTCAATCTGAACTAACTTTACATTTATTATTTTAATCAGTTTAATATTGTTACATATTACAAAATATTTCCCAATAAAGACAAAAGGAAAACTAACAGACATTCAAGTGCTTAATTTTGTATGTTATGAATACTAATTAGGATGTTTTACCACCTTCCTGAAAAGACACTGTGATTAAATAAGACAGCGGAATTTTTTTTTCCCCCCTTTCTTTTACAGGACAGAGAGAGAAGGAAAATAAGCCCTACTAGATTCTAGAGCTAGAAAATGTAGAACTGCACTTTAAAAGTGGTAGGTATGCATGCCTCCAATAACTCCATTCTCTGCCTCAACTTTCAATTGTGCAAGAATAAATTAAAGTGTGACAGCTAATAAAATAGAAGATTCTCTTACTGATGCCATAAAAAGTATCCTAATTGATGAGCCAGCATTGACTCTATGACCTGATCACTGATACTAATGCTGTTGCATGATGTCAGGGATTTGGCCATTTTTGTGATGAGGCTGCCAACCAGATCCTGTGGCAGCTCCTTACAGACATACTGGAGTATTATTTCCAATGTCCTGGCAGCATCTTGCTTTCACAAACACAACCTTTCATTTTTGCTGAAAACAATATTAAAAAATATCTTTCTTAAAAATAGTCTTTAAAGTCCAAAATGTTTAATATATTTCTTCCCTTAGAGGTTATATGCATTTTGGTGCTCTATCAGCTTTCCAGATTAAGAACTAGTCATTAGACAATTAAAAACTTGAAGGACACTATAGAAAAAGTGTCTGGTTTAAAAGATGGAGCTTGAAAAAAAATAAAAATTTTTTTCAAATCCTGAAGCTTTCTGACCATGCAAACTATCATTTACAAGCTAATACTTTAAATTTCCATGACGTCACCCATCCCAGAGTCAGAGTACAGATAAGATACTACTGCTTTCCTATGATTTCTTTCTGATTTTCTCTGCACTCTCATCTTCCTCCAAAATGTAAACATCATTCAGGTTATTTAATTCAAATAAAAAAGCCCTAAGACAACTGAGAATACAGAAGTTTTCACACAGGTGATCTAAATGTAATGGAACTTACCAATTAGCTCTTGGCAGTCCTTATGAATTATACTCTGTTCAGGTAGGTCTAAAGAGCCATCCCAGGATGCCAGGCTGTCCCCCTTTCCTACAACATTAAGTGCAATCTGAAAACAAAAATAAAAAACCCTCTAAACATTTCAGTGTCCTTTTGTAGTTACCCAATTACTCAACTCAGTAATTTAACTCAATAAAGAGGAATATTCTAAAACTGAATCAACATACATGCATATTAAAATTCCAGTATTACACCTCTTCTGTAGAGATGCCTGGTAATTAAATCATTTACATCAAATCAAACAGAACTTTAAGTATTTCCTGCTTCTTGATTTAAGCTCATATTTACCTTCCAGACTTTGGCCCTCAGATCAGCAGGCAACTGCCTTCCTTGAATGATGTTTCTCACAGTTTCAAGATCACAGCCTCCTTCTTCTAGAGCGTCTGCAAGATCTTTTTCCCTAAAAAAACAATAACGATATGCAATGTGTTTATTAAAATGAATTATACAATATTTTTCATTGCTTATCTATTAAATAGATGTAGACTGGAGGCTACTATCAGGCAAAATCCACACATATGTAAAGCTATATTATAAGACAACTTGCCAATTACTGAAAATAAATGTTTGCAAAATGTTATTTATTCCTTTATTTTTAAAACTGCTTAATTGAATTCCATTCAATTTACATATGAGAAAAAAAATCAGTTCAGGGCATTTTTTTTTTGTTTTCGTGAAGTGGCAATGTTGCAAAATGTATCATAAAAATGCAAATTTAGTTGTTAGTTTACCACTTAAGAGATACATGGCAAATTTACACACCCGCGTGCTCTCTCTCTCTCTCTCTCTGCATTCAATGCAAACACTACACCTAAATTAGATGGCCGAGTTCTTTTAAGTAAAATATTAGATGGCCAAGGATCAGAAAACTTATTTCAAAGGTATAGAATAGTCAGCTTTTAACCCCATCTTTCCCTGAAATCTCTCCCTTTTCCCTTTTAGTCAAACTCAGGTTTACTTAACTATAAAGTTCTACTACCAGGGACATGTGCACAAGACTGAATTAAAACATACAAAAATGTTAGTAATAGTGTAGAAAGTAGCAAAATACATAAATTCACAAGGCAGTCAAACAGTGATGACACTTTAAGTTGCCATAGTAAGACAACAAAAGTTAATAAGCATCATAGATAAGGTACGCTTTCAGAAATGATTACTTTACAATCTCTCCGATAGCTTCGGCAGACTGTTTCAATGGTTCCATGCTGTCAACAATGAGAGAACCACATCTGATGATTTCAGGAATTTCAATATCACGTAGCAGAGCAGTGGCAAAACACCAGGTTCACTGGAAAAATAGCAATGGCAGTGACACATAGGTCCCGTAGGCGAAACTTCTCCCTTACTGTATTCTCTTAACTATTCCCTACTAGTTCTGACACATGCCTTAAAAAAGGCTTTGCTTCATACACCTGAGGAGTTAAACACACAGTCGGGAGGTTTATAGTCAGAGCAAAACATAGAATGTGATTGTTTATTCAGGACAGATATTCAAGTATGAAGATGCATCCCTTGTGAACAACACGTCTATTTATACATGTGTTAAAGTGTTATCAGTACAATTCTCAATTAGTCCACGTTACTTACTATGTAGTCAATTCCAAATACCCATGGAAAAAGAATGTCAGCTGCTGAGCTCTGCCTGCTTCTTTAATTTGCATATATCCACAACTAACTCCTTGATATAAAGCTTCTCAAGTTTGGTCTTCTGAAAGCTTAACACGCAAATTTCTGATTTTCTAGATATCACCCTTTTTGATAAACAGATTAGAATCTTAATCCTTTAAGAATGTATGCATATACTTAACAATAAGCAGAAAGCTAGCCTTACTTAAGACTTCTCAAAGTATTTACAAGTTTGCAGAGTAAGAATTTTCCTTGCATTGTATCAGGCAGTTTCTTAGCCAGTACTTTTTGGTAGCACTTTAAATAGTATTTCAAATATACACTGGGGCACAACTAATAGTCTGTTTTCTTCAAGTAACTTTGCGAATTTGGATGAAAGAAAGTACAGGTTACAAAGAGACTGACTTGCCTTGTTTTCTAATATTTTTAGTATTAAAAAAAAATCCCAGAGCCCACTTATTATAGAACTACAGGCTGCACAGGTGAATATCCCCCTCCTGAGACAGAGATGGGGGTGGAAAAAATACACAAGCACAGTTGCACACCCATCACATATCCTCTTGTCCGATTGTATACATAACAATCAATGCTGGAAAAATTAAAATCACCAAATCAGTTCACCCTGAATAAAAATCAAATATTCCCAGGACATTTAGACAAAGAGACCTAGCACTCAGCAGAACTGCATGAACTCTGGGATGATCTAACTTCAACAGAAGCCAACATCAAACACCAGCTGAAGAGAGCTAGATGCTCTTAGTTACATTACAGGTTTCTGTGCACACTATGTATGACAAACAGACTAGAGAGCAACAGCTAGCCCTTGAATTATAGCACACAAAACACGGTTAGTTGCTACAATATATTACCCAAGTATTAAATAGGCACGTGGAAATGAATGCAACAACTGCATGCATGTTGTATTTCAGGTGGAAAGGCATTAAATTGCAATACTTAAATTTGGTTTCTATGTCCTCCAAAGAAAATTATTTTGGGGAAAAAAAAAGTAATTTAATATATATGAACAACACTTAAAAACACATCTACACAAATTACAAAAACACACCTGGCAAAGAATATTTCACAGATCCATGAGTACTAATTCTACCAGTTCTTGTACCTAATATTCACAGCTTAAGAAGCTGTGCATGGGTTAACATCAAGATCAACTTCAACATGTTATCTGCAAATGCGTGCTTCCTCTGTTTCTTTGATAATATATTACTATGTGCAAAATCTTCTTCATTAGTACTGTCATCCGCACTTTGTACACTGTGAAGATGACAGGCAAATGATAGCTTTACTACTTCACTTTAAAAAGTAAGAATCTGATATGCTCATCTCCCACATGGAGAGATGTGATGCGTTACCACATTGAGTTAAATGAAATAACAGCGGGGGGGGGAAGAATTGCATTATTCTATTTATCATTTAATTAGCTATTCTTTTCCCCCATCAACTCCCAAGACTGTTCACAGGCTAGAAGTGAGGACTTCTCAAAGATTAAGAAAAATTATTTTCTAATAAATATTCTATTCACTCTAACTTGCAGAGTACCATGAAAGTAATTTTGATATTTTAACACATGTCCACCGGCTGTGTTTTACCTTATTTCAGTCTGTGCTATAAATGTTCCAGCAAACTGCTAGCAATCTGTATCCTTGTCTTTCATGAGTGAAGATCAGCTAGGAAGTTTTCTGTTCATATGGACAACCACTATTTTACTTACTTTGGAAAGAATGCAGCACTTCTCTTTATAGGCAAACTCCTCCAGACCTGAACATCCTTCTTTCTGCTCTGCCATGGCTCTAATGCCTAATTCTAGACGCTATTCTAAATTTTGGTTAGATGTGTACAATTCCAGCCTACACCCAAGCCACGGCCTGAAAGGTTAATTCTCACAAGACATACTGTTCTAAATGTCATAATGCACAATATTGCTATTAGTGTGTATGGAGTAATATTCCATCTGTATTTATCTGAATAGCTAAAAAGAAATATTTAATAAACAAGGTCTGACAGATTTTTCTCATTTTTAAATCAAAACTGTTGATAAACGCCCTGTATTTACTAAAGAAAAAGCTGACAATTTCATCTTTCAATAACCCTATACAGTAAGTTTGGGGAGGGGGAGTGTTGGGGGTTTTTTTTGTGTGGTTTTTGTTTGTTTGTTTGTTTAAATTGTATTGTACAGTGGCAATTTTCCCTGGTTTTTGTTAAACAAAACACCAAGCAGTCAGTACAAATGTTGAGGGGTTTAACTCATCATTAGTTTGTGCCCCCCGCAAATCACTTGCACCAGCACTGCATGTCAAGTTGACACAGGAAAAATAAAAAGGGCATTTTATGTTAATAAGCATGTCTAGATTCTACATACTCAAGGTGCTATCACAGTCTCTGAACACAAAATTACATCTGCCTTTGAATCCCTCTAAGGAACTGCATAGAGGACAAGGAATCAGCACTGCCGGTTTTGTTCCCAACAGAGTTCAGGTGTACATATGCACCATTTTATGTTTCAGCCAAGTTTTTTTTAAACATGAAATGTTATTGCACAATCCTATACACTTCAAAACTGTGATAATGTAGTAATTTACACAAAAAAGCTCATTCAAAAGATACGTATTATACTGAGAAAAACAACTGTTCAACAGCACTCAGACATGTATACAAGACAACAGTTTAAATCAATAAATGAAAAAGAAAATATTTCACTGAAACTGGCTTTAAAAGAAAAAAACAAAACACAACAACCAAAACACAACAACAAAAACAAAAAGCCATGTGAAGTTTCAAAACAAGCAATAAGGAATACAATTTTATGTTATTCACAGGGTACAGCTCTAGTAACAGGATGTATTCTGGCGTATTAACGTAGCATTTAAGCATAAACCTCTTGAACTGTTCCCATAAAGACTTACAAAATCTCTCCTAATGAATGCCTTCAAGTTTGCCTTTTCTAGTAGTACCAGCATACCAAATTTACCATAGTTACATTTAGAAGCTGCCAGTCAGAATAGCAACAACGCAGGCTGCGCCTTGAAATGTGTCTGGAAATCGCACTTGTGCCTCATTCTTAACCAGGAATTTTAGCAGTTTGTCGTGATCTGGGAGATTGTAATATTCTTTCAACGTTAGTAGTGAAAGAGGTTTGAAGTATTTTTTAAGAGATATTTCAACATGGTTCTTATTCAATGTCCAGGGTTATATTTCAAAGTGTCAAGACCGCACAGTCAATGAGTCTGTCCTTAACTTTGTAATTATATGTCCCAACAGTCAGGTCTGCGTTTACAAATAATTCTTATGCAACACTGTACCTATAGAAAGTGCTTCATAAATTTTGAAGCTGTAATTAAAAGCAAAAAAAGGCTAAAAAAACTACACCAATTCATTTTCACTTGCTAGTAAATGATACTTAGTTGTTCTACCCAAGAGCTGTATTTGTAGAACCAAGTTAGGCAAGAACAGATACCAGCTACACCTGCATGTGTGTCAGTTCTGGCTTCTTTACAGCGAGATAACTAAGCGCAAAGAAGGCTGAGCATAGTTAGCAAGAAACTTTGAATCCGCCACATAAAATAAAGCCTAGAAGCAAAAACATCAGATTGGAAATGATCATAAAAAGCAGGTCTGTAAGATAATTGTTTGAAAAGCATGTACGTGGAAAGGACAAAGAGCAACGCTGTGGCACAGAGCCACAGAAAGAAAAGAAATCACATGCAACGCAGAAGCACAAAGAGAAAAACAAAGTAAAGATGCACAGGAATGGAGATGTGGGATGCAGTAAGAATAGCTTCAGCGTTTAAACACAACGTTTATTTAAGGCTCAGCAATCTTAAGTGAATACGCATGCAACAAATACTAAAATCACATCACTGTTACCATCAAAATGATCCTACACACACTCCAGAAATAGTCTCTATTCTTGTCCTAGAGCTTCAATGTAAAATCCATTATAAGTAATAGCTGCACTAGAGGAGGGTAGAGAGCAAAATCATTCGGAAAACAAGCCAGGACCTATTGCTGTCACCTGTGCTTGAGTAGGTACGCAGAGAAAGGGGAAGCTGAACTAAACAAAGCAACTCCACTCCAGGCAGACAGGCGCGCACACATCGAGCAGCTCCTACCGCATATTAAAGCTGTCATTTTAAACTGGAGCAACCGCCTCGCTCCAGACTGGGCACGGCCAGAGGCCGCCCCGTCTCGCCCTTGCTTTACCGGCGTCGCTTCCTCTTTCGGGACCCAGGAGCTGCCGAGCGACCGGTGGCGTTTGCCCCGGGGCTCGCCCCAGGCTCCCACCGCGCTGGGGCCTTGCCGGGCCCGGA